CACAAAAAAGCCCAGAGGAGAGGAGGCCACACTCAGTTATGTTTCACTGCAGTTCCACAGCCAGAACTGGTTGTACTGGAGAAAAACAACAAGTATGAACTCATTAAGAGGCAATGGAGAGAACCAAACCCATTGTGGTTTGACCAAACCCATTCTCCTCGGTTATGGAGGAATGTAAGAAATTGTCATTTTTAAAAAAAACTACTGTATTCAAAGTGTGCCTTTTTTGCAAACGGGCAAATGTTTTTAACATGTAACAAATGTGATTTTACATTAATCTACTCTAAAGCAGGCAGTTTAGTTTTATTACCTACAAATAAAATCATAAACTTGTGTGCTATTTAGACATGTTGTAATGATCGAGTGAAAGCGGTCTTCATTTCCAGCATCAAAGCCTTCATTTCTTAAAACTATGAAAAGAATCACATTAATCCTTCATGTGATGATTGAAGAACACTGTACATGTCCTTTTCATCTTTCCCTTCTTAAGGTAGCTGTTAGACAAACAGCAGTTTATGGGAAGTTTCTAAGCCGTTCTTCTACGATGTCAATTGAATGCTAACAGCCTGATTCTCACACTTGGCAAAAACAAGAACAAGACTGCAAAATTATTTTTAAGCATGATTTATATTGCTTAATATCACTTTTGTAAACGTACATTAAGCACAATTTAAATGAACCCTTAGAAAACTATGCAATTAGAAACTCCTTTTGAACCTTCTCTTTTAAAATTATACATTTAAGTGTCTGTGGAGGCAACCACAAAGATATGTCTCAGCATCCAACATGAAAACCAATACTAAGTAACGTAATCCTGAGTATTGTTCTAGCAGGTTAGTCTGGCAGTCTGGGTATTTGTTCCAAGTATGTTTATGTTTTCAGAAAGGCCAAAGACAATTACTGCAGCATTTAGTTTTATTACACATGGTAATGGACATATCGGTGATCACAAATGACACAGCAAAACTTTAGACAATGGAATATTTCCCTACAAATTACACGTTTTGCCCAAGGTAGTGTTAATGGACCAGCACATAGGATGCCCCATGACTCCTAAGGACTATAATGTAGCTCCAGGCAAGGCCTTTTCTCTAATGAGGAGCTAATGTAAGTTGGCATAACTGTTAGACTGGTTCCAATACCACCAATGGGAAAGGCAATTTGTGTCACAAGATACTACTGAACCAAGAGACACAGAAATTCCATGGTTTGTGAGGAGACCCACAGACATTGAGGGAAACTGGTGACCATCTTACGGGACTGATGCCCAAACATTTTACAGCTGCCATCACTGCTGGAGTGGGCCCACATGCTATTAGAGGTATTCTATATAACAGAACTGAAAAATCCCCACACTGGCTTCAGAAAATCCCAAGCATTTTTGCAATGATGGCAGGTATCTACAGCACAACAAGGTTTGAGAAGTCTGCTTTAAATTAACAAACCGCTACAGAAAGGCGTGTTTCAATATCTAAACAAACAGTGGCCTTCGTGTAGTCTTCACCATCATCTATATCTTTTAAAATAAGATGCAATGAAATTTAGACTTATGTCAAAGTTAGGCTCAATGCTTGGGTTTGTGTGAGCGTATAAATTTAGTTCAATTTAAGACTGTTAGTTAAGATGGTTATGTTTACACTCACATTGGACAAAATCTATCTCGTTCTTCTGTTTAAAGATTGGTAGTTCTCCCTGTAATTTTCAGATTCCAAAGCTCTATTTGCTAGGCGCAAAGCACACTGATGCACTTTCACTACAAGACTACACTTTCAGTTTAATAAATGACATACGTTATCTTAGCAAATAAAAGTATGTATTCAACACTTTCTTTCTGACTTTAAAAAAAGATGTATGGGTCTAAAAATGTTTAAAAGGTTACTATTACAATTAACAGCCTCAATCTCTTATAAACATCTATTAACCATGAAGAAATGGTACTATAGACACTATGAAGTATCCTGCAATCATACGAGTACTAAATGACAGAAACGTTTCTTTATACCAGACATTTGAATGACTACTGAGTTAAATGACTAAAGAGCTATGGAAGAATTCCCTCATGGTTTAGAAGCTGTTGATTTCTATAAATTAAAATGGCACATCTATTTTAATATATGTTCCTGTAATACACCCATTCCTGATCTTAACATCTCAATGACAATTTTTTTGTAAGAAGCACCACAGGTCTACTACTGCTGCAAATACAACCAGCTTCACTTCTTTTTGTGACTGTTTTCCATCCACAGCAAACTCTAAATCCTGTCTGAAATCAGAAATCTAACATTTACTGAAAACAATGGAAAAAGTCATTCCTAAGGTGACATTTATTTAATAAATGCTACGATCTCAAAGAGCAATTTCTTTTTGTGTCACAAGTACTTAGTAGAAGAAAGACATGAGAACACAGCCCTTTCATTACCAACGAAACTAGGAAGCTAGACTGCACAGGACTTCTTTTTGGACACCAACTTTGTTGAGGGGAAGACAAATCCATCCTGAACTCAAGTGCAGCATCCTGAAATCTTAAATTACTCCACCCTAACCCAGAATTATCACTAAATTTATACTTCAGTAAAATTCCAACTTTGCCAACGGTGATACTTGCACTTGGCACTGGATTCCACTGGACATTTCAAGCCAACGTTCATTTTAGGAATAGCGACAGTCGGTCAAAGAATCGGACTTTGACGATACTTATTTAAATGCATTTATACAGTTTATAGCACTTTCTATCACACATAGGAGGGGAGATACTGTATCCACATCTGACGTGTAGTGCTTATCTGGTTAACACATAGCAGCCATTTAACTGAAATATGACGGCAGATCAGGTAGATAGATACTTTATTGATCCCATGAGGGAAATTGCAGTGCAACAGCAGCTTAACACAGACAACACAGCCACAGTGTAACGAATGATATAATAATAGTACAATACATACAATACAATCAGTACAGTGAGGGGTGCACTAAAAGAGTTACTCACAGTCCGGACACACAAAAAACAAACTAGAA